ATCCGTCTCAGTGATCATGGGCTGGTCCGGAATCTATTTGTTCGAAAACGTTTTGTATTGTCGGCGTTTCTCGTTAAAACCTAGTTGTTTTGTCATGGACAAGGACAGTTTTTCAAAAAAAAAGAATCTGAGGTGAAGTGGACACTGCATATGACGCTGTTAGGAGGAAGTCCACCCCAACCTTTTCTCATTATTTTCACGGTTTTCGTCCACCGATTTTGCACCCTCGGATCCATTGGAAACGTGTAAATACTTACACTATGACTATACGCATTACTGCAACCGCCCACAAAACAACGTTTAACCATCATAAATGTTTGTTGTGAAAACAACTTTTAAAAATTCGCTCTCTCAAAAATAAAATAAAATAGACAAAAGAAACGCCTATTAAAAAATGTATATCGTTTAAAAGTACAGTTGTACGTTGAATTACACAGTGATATAAAAGTACGGCCCAGGGGAATGGCTTCCTCCCATATTTTTGCATTTGGTGGCGCACTTTCGGCGAGAGTCGGAAATCCGAAAACAGTCGACCGTTTCAGGATAGGTGGGCGTGGCTACAGCACGGGAAATATCTCAAATTTACTTGGATACAAGTAATCATTTTCAGCAAAAAAATCAATAATTGCCCATTTCAGTGGAGCACAGATCTAAAATGGGAAGCGTGTGGGTGGGCATTGCACAGGCACTTTAATAGCATGGTATGTAAAGCTGATAAGTCCATTGTTCAAAATATTTTGATAATATTTGATTGCCTGGTAATGGATTCTTGCAATTAAGGGTAATCTACCCATTTGCATCCTACAACCGATCACACTTGTTTTATTGTTGACACACAGAGTCTGACGACAGAAATTTAAGTGAAACTTCTCTGTGTCAGTCTTGTCCCATTTACCAGTCTCTAAAACACCCCAAACTTCAGATCCATACAATAAAATTGGTAATTGCAATGAGTCAAACAGTTTGAATTTCAACTTAATATTGTTATTTTTTCACTGTAGATGTTACCAATTGAATATTTGGTTTTCCTTGCCTTATCAGTAAGTCTCTGCATAGTTTTGTGGAGTGAACCATTAGTGTTAAAGGTAATGCCCAAGTATGTGAATTGATTGTTTTTTTCAAGAATTGTGTCACCATATTTAAGAGCAATGTTATCAGATCTGTGGCCATATTTTGTGAAGAATATGACTTTGGATTTGTCTGTATTTACTTTCAATCCCAACTTATTAGTATAGTCATGTAGATGATTAATGGAAGACTGGAGTCCCTCTTTAGATGTTGAAGTGATAACTATATCATCAGCAAAGAGGAGGCTGGATATTGTTAGTCCATCTAGTACTGGTTGATCAATGGCTGTACTGTCTAATAGTTCAACTAAGTCATTAATAAATAAACTAAAGAGAGTAGGACTAAGTGGACAGCCTTGCTTTACTCCGTTATCAGTCTGAAATGCTGGTGTCATCTTGTCATCCAGTTCAACGTAGAATTTAATGTTATTGTACATACTTTTGATGATGTTATAGAGACGGCCATTAATGCAGTTGGCTTGCAATTTATACAGTAGTCCTGATCTCCAAACTGTATCAAAACATTTTTTCAGGTCAATGAAAGAGCAATAAAGTGGCTTATTCATTGAGTGGTATTTTTTGACCATGGTATGCAGTGTTAAGATATGGTCTGTTCTATGTTTTTTCCTGAAACCAGCTTGGTTCTTGTGAATAATATCATTATCATGTAGATACTGGTTTATTCTGTCATTTAGAATCATGCTGAAGATTTTTCCTATTGCACTGTTATTAGTTATTTGGATTTAGTGAATCATCTTTTTTGTGAACTGGTGTAATGGCATTAATGTTCCATATTTCGGGGTATTCTCCTTTCTCCATTACATGGTTGTATAATTTATGAAGGGCTGCA